TTTCTGACTTTAAATGCATTTTGCCTACTTAAAGCATCGCCTTTCCAGCCTTACCCTGTAGATGTAATATCATAGTTCCCATGCATTATAGTTTGTAAAATGTTACCTCACCGCACAATTTTACTTTAACATGACATTGCTTGTTTTGCAACTGAAATAACTCTCCTCTGGACTGATATATGTAAATGTAATGTGCACCCCTTATATGATTATTACTGTCTGTGTACTGGTAGACACTTTACCAAACACCTTGGGGACTTTTCCCTGTGAACAGTAAGCAGTAATGAGTAGTGGATACAGTGTCATACATGTGGCTATATCATCAACTATTATACTCATGGGCTTATAAAGTTCTACATTTTATGAACCTTTAGTGTGCAGTGACTCTTTTCTTTGAGGATATAAATGCCCCCTGCTCTACAATGTGTATCATATGTTGTTAGCTTATAGTAGCTATTAACTGTTGAAGGACACCAATACAAAACAAAGGTGCACATAACAAAAAATATGTATGTATATAATTTATAGGTAGTACACCAATAGAATGCCAGGTGTAGTGTTGACCAATGAACCCTCCACAGCTTTATTATATACTTCCCTTGCTTTCTTTACAACTTTTATTATATATACCAATGCCCGTGATTTTACGATCATAGCTACATACTGTGTAATAGTAACTGTATAGCACACCACCTCCTATCAGTGTGCTAGAGGAGGAAATAATGTCACCTTTGTGACTCAGTCACCACCAAAATCAAGGACCTCCAGGCTTATGGTGCTATGGCCTTGTGTGTTTTAAACTGATTTGTGTGAATAGTGCTTAATTTGTATTCCCTGTCATTTTCCTTCTGTCTGTGGATTGCTGCTACAATGGTGGCAAAATGTTGTGTCTGTCTGTATATCTGTCTGGCTGTCGAGCTCCTCCGCTCCATTTCAGTACCATGGACCCCCCCCCCCCCCACTTGCTTAGCTGTGGAAAGTAAGTAATCATATGTAATTACATGTCAAAACATTTAGACAACAAAAGGCACTAGGGGTGGACAAGGTTTAAGAATCTAGCAAGAGACAGCTAAATTTACACAACCTAAGTACACAACTGAAGAAAAAAAAAACCACACCCCCTTCAGGGCTCTCTCTAAACCACTTCTTAAAAACATGTTGTTTTTTTGTACCAACAAATTTTCGACAACTGTGCTTCTGAGCTAGCTAATACTCATTGCCTCCGCTGGTTAGGTTGGTTAGGGTTAGGGTGGGGTTACGGTTAGCCAATAAGAAGCAGAGTAGAGTGCAGGACTTGACAAAAGCTTGTATATCCGTTAAGTGAGAGTTGTCTAAAATTGGGTAGGAAAAAATGCCTCCAAAGTACATTTTCATGGGAAATGAGTGCCCTGTGTATGAGATATTAGAAGTAATATCATGGCATTACTTTTGTATCATATGTTCTGATTTTAGTTTTGAGATCACTAATGTTAATTCCATAAAGAATCAAAAGAACAGTCAAGTTATCCTGCATCTAAATGATGCGGGATTTAGGAATGTGTGCACTCATCCACAACACTTAACACACTATTGTTGATATTCTGCCACATGCTTACAGGATGTTCCCATACATAGCAATGTGATGTCTATAACTGTCTGTGTCTGTGATAGCTTGTCTGTTTCTGGTGTTTGGTACAAGTGAGATTTTGGAGATCAGATTTTTTTAAATCCATGGATACAACACATACTGATAAGTATAACAACTATAACAGACTTTTTTTATACATTCATATTAGCGCTTAAGCTTGAGTGGCAGTTGAGAAGCAGTCATGACCGTTTCTGATGGTTATAATCACAACAATAATGAGTGATTTCATTTGTTTCCCTTAACCCTACTGTATTTTAATGCTATAACAGATATGGCAGTTGTGTATTTGCACCGTAACCCCATATGACACTGTAAAACCAGGACATTGTTTTGGTGTGTATGCATGCATCCAAATGTGTGTATGTATGTAAATGGATACTATATTTCACTGTTGGTTTGTGTTCACCAGAATGTCAATGTCCCACGCAGCTTTGCTTCCAAACAAATAGGCTTTTGACTGAGGAAAAACGGAGCTTTGTCAGACACAGGCATTGGGCTTGTTCGACACAGTGTGTGTGTGTGTGTGTGTGTTTGTGTTTGTTGTGCGTGTGTGTGAGAAGGAGATTATGTGCGTCTCTTTGAGAGAGAGTGTATGTCTGTGAGGAAGAGATTGTGTCTATGTGTAAGGGATTGTTGAACACAGTGAGTGGTGTGCCTATGTGTATGTATATATATAAATAAATACGCTATATATATATATAGCATATTTATTTATATATACGCATTCAGTCAGAGATCAACAGAAAGGGAGTGTGTGTACATGTACAGCCTGTGTGTGTGTGTGTGTGTGTGTGTGTGTGTGTGTGTGTGTGTGCACTCTTCTATTACTGATAGACAAAATGGAAGCAAAGCAGCTCAAACACACAAGAGCACTTAACACAGCTACATTTCATGTTGTGAGTGCCACTGATTTCCTTTCTTTCTTGAATTTTATTTAATACCTTATGAAAAGCTGTCTGATTCTATATGAACATTTTAGATATCTCCTGTGATGAAGTATGAACATAACTGATATGCCATTCCAGTGGAAGCTAATTGTAAGCATGACATTTAGATGATGATCACAGAAAGAAACATGCTAATAGTGAGATAGTGAAGAAAGCTGCAAGTAAGGAGGCTGTCAGATGCTACAGTTGTAGTATCCTTTTTAACCATGTGACTCTTGGGATGGCAATTTCAGTCAGTTGGTCAACAACTTTGGTTCAAACTGAAATATTTACTCTACTAACTATTGAATGCATTGCCATAGAATTTCGGACAGATATGCATGTTCCTCAGAGGATAAATCATAGTGACTAATCTTTTAACATTTCATCTAGTCAGGAGATAATTTTTAACATTACCCTTATTTATTTTTTTTGAACTGTTGGATGGATTTCAGTAACACTTGGTGCAGCCATTCATACTTAATAACTTTAGTGATCCCCTAACCTTTCATTTAGCATCATCATCAAATCAGAATTTGTCCAGTATGTAGGTTTATTGCCATATATATACCTGCAAAACTATTGACATTTCTATCAGCCTCATCTGTACTTTTTGACAATGACAGCAGCAGAGTTCATTATTCACGAGCAAAAACTACACTGAACAAAATTATAAACGCAACACTTTTGTAGCCATTTTTCAGGCTTTTCATGATGGTATTTAGGGGTTTTAAGTAACAGTTGTCGGCATGAAAGCTCATATTGGCACTAGAAAATGACAGAGCAAACAAAAGCAACGGTAGACTAGGTATGCTTGAAACAAACTAGTTTGTAGAATGTGCTGTCTTACCATGTCTAAAGACAGATCTGTTTATACACTGAACAAAATTATAAACACGTTTTTGCCCCCATTCATCATGAGCTGAACTCAAAGATCTAAGACTTTCTCTATGTACACAAAAGGCCTATTTCTCTCAAATATTGTTCACAAATCTGTCAGAATGTGTGTCAGTGAGCACTTCTCCTCTGCCGAGATAATCCATCCACCTCACAGGTGTGCCTTAGGCTGGCCACAATAAAAGGCCACTCTAAAATGTATTATTCTTTGAAACAGTTTAATTTAAATGCAAGTAAAAGAAAATGGTATTGATATTGATTTAAATGGGGACTCCAGGTATTGTTGTCATTCTCTGCATCTTGGAGGACAAACGTATCAGGCCTGGAATCTGGCACCGCTACAGTCCCTTGCAGTACGGCCATGTTGGTTTATGGAATGTGATAGTATGAGCAGCTGATCTGATCACATGACTAAATAGTGTGAGAAAATCTGTTTCACTTTCTCTCTTTCTGTTAAAACCCCCAATGATAGATACAATCAAGTTGCTTTTATTATCAGTATATTCTGCTGCATTATATTTAGAAGTACAGTATTTGGGTTAAATATTTTTAATATATTATCTGGAATCACAATCTTCTTTTGGCAGGAGAGTTTAAAGGTTTCAGGAACATCAGTCCAGAACTAATGATGCATTGGTTTTGGCACTAAGTAAATGGTATATGGAGAACATAAACTTACAATACGTTCCGCTAATGAAACAAATTACTTTATGCAACTTGTGGTACTCAATACTAGCTTAATTGCTCTTTACAATACCATCAAAACAATAGAATAATCCTATAGGGAAGTTACTTTGTCTGTGACTCTTAACATCTTGCTTGTCACATACAGTATGTGTATTCATTTTTTGGACATTAATTCTTGCATTTATTGTATTTCATTGTTTAATAAACGAAACCATCTAAGACATCTGGAGGATAAATCATTCTTTGGTGGAATTGTTAACAACTCATCTCATGTGAGGAGCCCCAACGAGACAGTGGCTTTTTGTAAGGGCTCACAAGTCAGACAGGATGAAAGCTGGTGGTTTAATGTAAAACCTAAAGTGTTTAAAAGGTAAAATATTATAGCTGTAAGTATGGTGGAGTAAAAAGTCATTGTTTTCCTACTGAAATGTAGTAGAGCAGAAGAATAAAGCAGCAAAGTTCTTGAGTAGGCCTACGATTGTTTCTATAGTATGAATATAAAATTGCTCTGTATTTTTCTATAGATATTTATGTATCTGTGTGAGTCACTGGTGAGTTCATAGTAACCTCTCCAGCCCTCCAATTGTATCACTATAATATTTTACTTTAATTTCTATAGGTAATGTTTTGTCCCTAATAGCATAATGTTAATCTGCTGTTAATATAATAATTTTGAATCAATTTAAATAATTGTCTTCGTGGATTCATTTAGCATCTTACTACAGGAAAAATAAAATTGATTCCATATAAACTATGATTTTCCTGTCTTTTCCAATGCTTCTCCCTTTAAGGCCACACTCAGCTGCTCAAAGCGAGCCTCGTCGCTATTGTTGCATCTCTGGTCTCCTCCTTCCTTCCTCCTCCTTTCCCCTCCCTTCACTCATCCATCCATCCGTCCACCCCTAGATCCGAACCACACAGGCACACCGATTTGCGCATCGCCTCCTCCGGCATAATGACCAACGATTCCCCGGAGGAGGAGACCCGAGCTCCGGGTGGAGGAGGAGGTGGAAAAGGAATCCCGCGGAGAAAACGAGCGGACGACAATGTCACCATCCTGACATCTTCCATGGATTTCCACAGAGCCGGCCGGAGCCGAGCCAGCAGCAGCAACGATGCCGCCCCGAGTCTCACATCCTCCGTGGATCTGAGCACCTCCTCTCTGGAGCTGAGCATCCAGACGCGGATCTTTAAGATAATCGTCATCGGGGACTCCAACGTGGGGAAGACTTGCCTCACCTTCCGCTTCACCGGCGGCAGCTTCCCGGACAAGACCGAGGCCACCATCGGCGTGGATTTCAGGGAAAAGGCGGTGGAGATTGAAGGGGAGACTATCAAGGTAAAAGCAACAGTGGGGCTGGATGGTGATTAGTGGTGTTTCCTCACTCCCCCTCCTCCTACCCCCTCCTTCTCCTCTCTTCTTTTTGTTGATCAGCTGCAGCTCAAAGTCTGCCAGTGGATGACACAGGGCCCATTCTTACATGTTGTCCTCACATTCTGAAACAACAGACTATAGCCTACATTTCACAACACTGAAAATATATTTAGGGACAAGTATTTACATCTTGGACAACAAATAGCCTAGGCTTTGTGTGTCCTTGGAACCTAAATGAAGAAAACATAACAATGAATGTCATTTGTGTGGCCAGTTGGCCAGTGGGTATTTTAGGGAAATATTTCTATGGAGAAATTCATGTATTATTACAGGTTTGACAATAGATGTTGTACTGTGTTGTGTTTTCTTAATGTTAAAGGAATCTCTGTAATGTTAGAATTAAATCCAACTTACAGGGGTGCTGCTTAAAATTCTGGTGCCCCCTGAAAACAGCAGAGGGCCCTGAAACAGTCCAAATAATATGATTGGATCGGATCAATCAATTAGTTGGTAAGTAATATTTCAAGCAAAAACAACAAGAGCATTACTTGGTTCTGGTTTATCAATCAGGAGGTTTTGCTGTTTTTCTTTGTGTTTTATATGATGGTGAACTGAATATCTTAATCAACTTAAATACATCCCTTTCCACGTGATAGGGTTTTTAACTATTTTGAGACTAAACTGGACTAAACACTCAACTAATCGAGAACATAGTTTGGGATAAGAACCAAGAATTAAATAGTAGTTGCAGTCCTAATTTCAGGTATGTTTTAAGGCACATTCCTCTTTTAAACCCATTAATAAAATTCATGTATCCATCCATCCAACGTAGTGTATCACATATCATCAGTCTCAGCAGATTCTATACAAGTAAAACCAACAGCATTAGACATGTAGGTCATAGTACTCTAAAGGTATCCTGGTAATTGATTAATTAAATTTTAATGATTTCCAGCATCTGCCAATAAGTATTTAGTAGCAATACTTATTGGCAGATGTAACAAAAATCAATTGAAGCACAACAATATAATAACAAGCTCACTGAAGTGTCATGATAGGGCTGCACGATTTGGAGAAAAGGTCATGTTGTGATTATTGTGGACAATATTGCGATTTGATTCGATTTTAAAGGAACAAATGGTACTACGAGTCTACTTGCTTAATTATCAAGGAAATACTGACATTTTGAAATGTGGATTTCTCAACTTGAACAAAGTTAAACAACAAACAATATTTATAACAATAACTAGTGAAACAGAACAAGGGGAGCGTGTTGCTCTACAGAGGAGGCGGCTAGAAGCAGCAAATATTGGCACACTGGCACTGGCTCAATGTACATCTGTCTACTGCAGAGTCTCTATCCACAACCCGGAGGAGGAACTGTGCAGGAGTATTAAATAAAGAGTATAATGTTCAGTTAATAGTATACTGTTATATTATAGTATAACAATAATATATTAAATACTACATTCATTAGAATTTCATATTATAGTATACTTTTTTTACCACTAGTTGAATAATAATAATCCAGTTATCTGTTTCATTTCTGTGGGTTGTTTTTATTCATTTAATCCTTTTGCAAGCAAAAAGCTCTACATCGGTCTCTAATTTGTTAATGCAAAGTACTAACTTGTCAATAATCATATTGTTCAACATTTAATGATTTGCTGTAGCACGTCAAACTTTTTTTTATGCTCCGCCCCATCTAGGCTGGGATTGGTCGGTTGACGAAAAGTGACTGACAAGCACAAACCGGTCTGTGAAAAGTTAAACATGCTGAACAGCAAAAGGAACCAATCCAACTAACATTAAATGGCCAGCGAGCCAAACCCAAACCTTCCTCATCTTCTGTCTGACTGCTTCAGCTGCTGCCGACGTCTCTCTGTCTCACAGAGAGACCGGAGCACCGGCCTTGTTTTGAACGATTAGCGGTGGGGAGGGGGGTTACGGTAGGTTGTTGTCATAAAAGTTATTGCTCATAAAGCATTTTTCTTATTGCATGTAGGCTTATCTGTTTTTAGGGGCACATGCGAGAGCCCGGTGTGGGTGGAGATAATGAGACACACAGTTTTATTAAATTGCACACTTTTTGCGGTTATGTAATCGCACATGTTGACATTGCGATTGCGATTAGATTAATCGTGCAGTCCTATGTCATGACAAATAATACTGGTCAGGATTTTAGTGTTTATATGTGGAACATTTACTCACATCTTTAATCATTCATTTGGATGATCTGTGATTAAATAATAGGCCTTGTACTGAGATCTCTTACTCTGTTGTGTGATGTACACACCATCCCCCTCCTCACTTGGCCAGTGAGCATGCATGCAACCTTGGTATCACACATACACATGCATGTGTAGCCTCCCTTCCCCCCACTTTTTCCTTCAGTCAACAACCTCCAGATGCTGACTCACAAACACACTCACACAGACCGCAAACACTACACCTATTAGGTCAGTGTGTCTGAGTCACTAAAATTCAAAAGGCCTGCTGCACGCATACTGTACGATCAGCATTGTGAGGAAGTCTGTTAAACACTTTTATATGTAAATTTAACTGATTTAAATAATCTTGCAATTTACTACTTGGACTGTTTTCACTGTCTTCACTATGCGGCTTTGCTGCTGACTTCAAAGCTGGTTAGGTAATGTTGGTACATCAAGATGGTGCATTAAGTAAAGATTAGACCTGTTCAAGTAATTAACTCTTGCTGTAAGTACAGGCACTGACTTCTTCTTTAATACTCTTTAAAAATGTACTTTTTTGATCCTTAGAAATCCTTAGAGTTTTTCAGACATGCTAGAAGTGTGATCAAGGAAGGCATTGGTCTGCCTGTCCTTTTGGCCCAGAGCAAAATGACCATTCATTTGGTTGTGAATAGTTATGGTCCCTGGAGGGTGATTCCTAATGTTTGGTGACCTCCTGACCTTTAATGCTATGCCACTGTCAGGACACAATTTCTGCATGCACAGAAGATTTACCAGCAGCTAATGGACAGTTTGTCATGAAACTGTCACATTTACAGTCCTAAGGGAATAAGCCCTTTAATAGTAATGACCCCAGAATTTTGCCTTTAGTGCCATTCTCAGGACAAATTCAACAGTTTAAGCCCCACTCTGTTAGGACTCTGAAGAGTAGCAAAGTTGTTAGTGTGTTGGTTATTCTGTTAAATACTCTCCTGCACTGCAACCTCAAGGGCTGTTAACAGCCAGTTGGCATACTGTTTGTATTTAGAGATATTAAGAGACACTTTTGAGTAAAGGATTTGTGTTTTTATTGTATCTTGTGTCATATAATTTGTGTCAACACAGCAGGCAGGTGTTTTAGATCCAGCATGCTCCAGGAACATTTACCACCAAAGCTCAGACAGGAAGCTAAAATGTTGTGTATTTTTGCATCATCCAGATAGTGATTTCATTGCCTCTACAGTGGAATCTGTCATTTTGGAGTTAAAACTAGGCTACTACTAGTTTTAAAGCCCTTCTAGGTAGTAGGGCTTTGAAAAAAGGTTATGATCCAACTCCATGGCAGCACAAGTCAAAATTTCACTCCCAGTTACATAAAACAGGATTAGTGTCTCATAAAAATGAACATAAAACTAAGTTTTAAGTTTCAATAACTGTATGTAGAAGGCCAATAAAAGTAGCAAACAACAATAAATTTGCAGAGGACTTAAAATAGTATAGATATACAAATTATGGAGTCAAAATAATGGTAATGATCTTCTTTGTGGGAGAAAATGAACGTTTAAAATGTTTAAAAAAAACATTTTCACTGATGAAAGGTACATAATGATGAAAGTATATATAAAGCATTATCATCAGTTTTTCTATTTTGTGCATTTTCAATTTTCTCAGCACACAGTGTTCAACAAAGACCTTGAAGCTTTGATGTTATGAGCGTCATTAAATATAGCATTCAATCACAGATGCTAAAAAGCTGGGCTTGTCCTTTCAAATGATAATAGCATATACTTCACTGGTTCTTTTTAACTAAAGGCCTGGGCTGAGTGTTGGGAGACATCCATGTTGATATACAAAGTGCTACTGATTAAACAGACATACAGATACATTCAATAAGCTGACCATTGAGTGTGGTACATGAGCCATAAATGATGTTACTAATTTTCACGCATTCAGACATGTCTGAATCAGTGCTTCTCTTGTGCAAAGGGGGTAAATAAAGCTCACTTCCTCGTTGTTCTTCTTGACAAATGTGGTGTTTTGTGTTGTTCTGTTTTTAAACCCGTAATTTGTGTCACTACATTTGATACTGGCATGCACCACACACTGTATACAGCCCAGAGCACACCTGCCTGAGGCCTTTGTTAATCATTAAGCAGAAAAGCCCATCGTGCTATAGAGCAATGCTCTTTTGAGACCCTGTAGCCAGGAATATCTTAGGATTCCTTACAGCATTACAGTACCATGTACTTATTCTTGTAAGCCCCTATAGGCTTAGACAACTCATTGTAGCCAGAATCATTTTAGTAATTTTCTTCTAATTTACTGAGATAAATCTTTTTTATATATAATTAACTTGGATGTCTGGATGCTGTCACTCTGAATGTTGTTATTTTCTCTAACATCTAAATCTAGCACTGAACATAATTTATGACTAACCTGGATGGTCTAAAAACCACACTAAACACTAAAATGCAGCCTAGGAACTCGTACATAGATATTCAGTCTTCCTCAGTCATATAACAACACAGGCGTATCTTTTCTATCTCCGCAGGTGCAGGTATGGGACACAGCAGGCCAGGAGCGCTTTCGTAAATCTATGGTGGAACACTACTACCGCAATGTCCACGCAGTGGTCTTTGTGTATGACGTCACCAAGATGGCTTCCTTCCGCAACCTGCAGACATGGATAGAGGTTGGTAACTGGCTCAATACATTACCGTGGGTTGGCACTGTAATGTTTCCATCACAAAAGATGGTTTGACTCTCTGAATGCTAATTCTCCAACTGATCACTAAGAAAATTCAATGGGTTTTGTAGGAAAAATCTTTCCGATGTGTGCTAAAATACTGTTACTTCTACTACCTATCAATATTTCTACCATTACCTCTACTGGTATAGTGGCGACTATTCCTTGTAATAATAATTACAATAGTCAGTCATTAGTTACGAAGAAGTTGCATTCGCATTAGTAATAATAATAAAATCACTACTACTTGTGTTAGTAGTAATGCTTGTCATACTAGTAGTAGCAGGTAGTGGTATTTAGGTGATTGTAGTTGTATTTGGTATGAAGGTTAGCAGCAGTCATAGTGACAGCAGTAGTGGATGTAGTGAAAGTAATTGAAGCTGCAGCAGTAACAGAACTTATCTGGGCAGATATTTTGACATGTCATTGCAAAAAGCTCAGGTGCAATGAAGAATACTAATTATCAGCTGCTTTCCATTTAGGTTTGCCACTTTCAGGCTTCGTGGGACACTTCAGTGGCCTTGAGTCATCAGCAGCAGCAGTAGTGCTGGTATTAGCAACAGTTTAAAAATTAGTAAAATGTCAGTAGTACACATTAGGGCTTAACCTATCACTTTTTAACACATCATTTGTTTGAACTAATTTCAAAATGCCCTCGTAAAAGCATTATGTTGTGGATTTGATGTGGTTCTGTAGGAATGTAACAGGTCTCTGTGACACAAGCTAACAGGTGACTTCAGATCTGTAGTCGTGATAACACTACCGAGCAGTTGGGCTCAGTGTATGAATGTGTGTGTGAATGGGTGAATGTGCCAGTGCTTTGAGTGGTTGGAAGACTAGAAAGGCACAGACCATTTACAAGTTGAGTTAAAACCAAATTTTGAATTTGGTTAGATAAGTACGGACATTTACATTTTTCCCATGTAGGTTGAATTTCAAACAGAAAGTGATACCATACCTCAGGGCACAAGTTCTGTGAGTGATAGTGAACTCGACTAATATTGAATTTATGCTACATGAGAAGAAGCAGAATGGAAAGAGATTTTTATGACTTTGAGACATTCATCCTTTATTCGGTGATGGTTACCTCCAGTACTACACCTGTAGTCAGTTCTTTTATTGATCATGCCATACATTTAACAGCTAATAACTGCATACAGATATATATAGCCCCTTTTTCAATCGGCTGAATCAGTTCAATTAGTGTAGGATTTATTGTATTGTATTATATTGAGCTGTTGGGAATGGGGGCTATGCAGCCATTTTGGCACCAACACTTCTTTTTCACCAAGTGGGACATAAATTCACGAATTCCCTGTAATTACAACTAAGAGGCTGACGGTAAAAACTTTTACCACTCAGCTGCTCATATTCATGGCCACATATCGCTTGAACATGGCCATAGTTTATGAAGTGTATTATTATTATTCTGTTGCGTTCCAGGAGTGTAATGGCCATCGGGTCTCAGCATCAGTACCTCGAGTCCTGGTGGGAAATAAGTGTGACCTCATAGACCAAATACAAGTGAGTGTACTCAAGCAAGGACCACTAATCAATATAATACTTCCTCGATTGAATAAGGGCTTACAACCAAACATCTGTGCTTTCCCAGGTGCCCTCCAACACAGCGTTGAAGTTTGCTGATGCCCACAACATGCTGCTGTTTGAGACATCGGCCAAGGACCCGAGGGAGAGTCAGAACGTCGACTCTATCTTCATGTCTCTGGCCTGCCGCCTGAAGGCCCAGAAATCCCTGCTCTACAGAGACGTGGAGAGAGAGGATGGGAGAGTCCGACTCACACAAGAGACTGAAACAAAGAGCAATTGTCCTTGTTGAGGAAAATGAGGAGTGGGAGGCGTAATGGAGGGGAAGCGAGGCGAGTAACTGTACATGTCAAGGAAGAGAAGGAGAGGGATGATGGGAGAGTGAGGCTAAAACAAGAGTCTTTTAAATTAAACGTTTCTGTTGTCAGAGGTAGATGGGGGGTGGAGGATGACACTATGAGTGTGTGTTTCAAAGAAGAGGAGGATAGGGTGGAAGTGGTAAGGCTTGTGAGGGACTGAAACTGTATCAATATTGTTGTTTTTCAGGAGAGGGAGGAGAGAGGAAGGTGACAAAGAGAGAGAGAGGAGAAAAGGAGTGGGAAATTTATTAACAATTCTGACATGAGAGGATATTGCCTTTTAGACTACAGTATAATGAAGAAATGCTTCCATTTATTCAAACATAGACAGAAACTGAGTAAATATAAATTCCCTGTGTCCAGTGCCCAGCCACAACACAGCACTATTAACATCATCTGGGGATCCTAAACAGTCTCGATGCAAGGCTGTAATTTCCTAAACCTGCCCTGGTTCGATGTTTGTCACCACCATTATTGACAGCAACACTCTGAGGTAACATATTGCAGCTCTTTAAAACCTTTATCTACTGCCTTAAAAGCTGAACTCTGTCTTTGTTTAAAGAAAGGTTTCAAGAATTTTAGCCTCTCGAGAGGATCTTGGTACAACCAAACACTGACAGCCTCTGAAGTGGCATTCATTTAACGTACCTGATATATCTGTCTAGGTCAAGCCTTCACAAATAGGACAGTTGACTTAAAATCACTGTGAGATCACATAAACATGGGAATGGATAAGAAAACACATCTTTTGTTTAAGTTTATCTGCATAAAATAAGGGGCAAAAAGATGAGCTTAAAGGACGTTTGCAGGAAGACCTTGACAACAAGGTTTCCTGAAAACAGACCATATAGAGGTTGTCAGGCAGCATGTCATGTATCGATTTCGAGGCTGACACTAAGATCCTCTTACGCTTATGCAAGAGAAATGCTCTCTTCTGCAAAGAAGGGGCGTCATGGTAAGGCTCCTTTTTCTCATCTTACCCTGATGCACACAGATCCACTCCATGCTTACCTTCTGGCAGAGTGGCTTATCCAGATTCATCTTCGTGTATCAATGCAGCAACAACCAGTCTTTGCAGTATGTGACTTCAGGAGAGCCAGTCACCCACAGCAATTCCATATTCTATAATGAACCTTTTTTGAGGTAAAAGCCTTCTGTCTGTGTAGGATGGTGTGCTCTCCACATCAATATCACTGCCTCCAGTCTCAGAGAGGACAGGAAAGATGATAGAAAGCTGTCACCCCCTGGATACACGATGGATATATTTATACTGCTCCACAGCCTGAGTCTGGATGTGTGGTGTGAGTGGACATTTCAGCCTGGTGTGCATATAAAGGAATGAGTCCAGGAGAAACGGAGCCATGGATGACACAGGCTGCATGAAACACTGTAGAAAGCCATATTCGTTATTTACTGTTCACAATGATGCAGTACGCTTTACACTGAGATAACTCCCAGCTGGATTGTGGATAGAAGAACACACTGTACATAACTCAGTGTTGGAGCTATTAAGCCTTTGCAATAAGGCATCAATCTACAAGCCTGACAGTGATGCTGTCAGTTTGATATAGCAGCACACTCACCATATCTGACCCTATTTTAACACTGTAGCCTACTTTTGAGCAATGCTATAAATATATTTGGATACCATATGTTAAAAAAAAAAAGCATTTCAGCCTCCAAGCTGACAGCCTGACGACCTAATTAATTCATCCGATCCAGCAACATAAACACTGTGCAAATGCTATAGTGAAATCCATAGAGCTATTGTCTGTGCTGTTTCACGTTTGTTGATTTTTATCCAGAAATTCTCCTCCTCTGTTCTTCCTCAGTCTCAAACACATTTGTATCAGTAGCAGCAGGATCAAGCAGCCGTCACAGGAGAACAAATCACTGTAAAATACCAGGAGAAGCTCTTCTCTTTCTCATTGTATGTACAGGCAACTAAGATAACATCCACTCATCTATTTCCAAACCGCTTATTCTGCTCAGGGTTGTGGAGGGGGCTGGATCTTATCCCAGCATGTAATACACGAGAGATGGGTCACACCCTACAACTTTTTATCTGTTAACAAATATCTATGGCTCTGTTAGGTTAGCATAACCTGGCTAATTTAGTCGCTGTAATACATGTAAGATGACTGTGCTAGCTTAATAAGAGGAAAAACGTGGAAAAGACGAATGTGCCTGCATTTCCTTCAAAAACTTACCAGATCTGAATAGAATAACATTTGACTTTGTCTCAAATGACTGAAAAGAAAGATATAATTATGTTCATATTAGCATTCATCACTCATTACGGATATGAATTTCAAATATCACATAAAGCTCTCTCTTTTAACTTTATTTACATCCCAGTGGAGGCTGGACAGAAGCACGGAGGCCCAGAGATACAAGCAGGTATCTCTTGGTTAGCATCAGTCCGGCAAGAGAGTTTCATGTCAGTTAGCCTAAACTTTGTCCACGGTGTGGTTACACTCTCTTTCTCTTTTTCAAACATTTGAACTCATAACCACTTTGTATTTTATCCAGGTCTAAAAGTTAAGAATACAAATGTACAGTATGTGTGCTTGCCTTTTCTTCCCCCTGTACTATATTTTATTTATTATTTATATAAAATAAAATGTTTGCAGTTAATTTGGGTCTTTTTTAATAACCCACATTTGCTCTTAAAGGGATGCCTTGACATTTTGAAATGTAATCTTGTAATTTTGTTTATCTGCAAAAAGTCACAATGTTAAGACAAGAAAAGGTTTCTAATTGTTGAATTAATAAATGTCAAGTACACTCTGTACAATCCATCAGTATGGGGAATGGGTCCTTTGCTTTCTTCTACTATATGTTTCATATTATAACATGTAACATTGTGGTCGTTACAATCTCACAAAGGACTTGTGATAAAACTGCTGAAGAAGCTTCACTTGACTCAGATCCTCATTCTTTGGAGACCGGTTCAATCATCCTACACCCAACTTTTCTCTGAGTGATTAAACTTAAGGCAGCTTTTGAGATGATGTGCCCCTAAAGCATTAACATGATGAAGTTTTCAGTAACATATCTGCTTGGCCAGATACTAACTTGTGTGCTGATGAAAGTATTTAATGTTAGAGCCTGTTTCCCTCCCACACACAGGAACATTTCATGTCTGTTTTTCCATTCCCTTACTCTCTTTCTCTCGTTCTCTCTGCCCTGTATCTTATTTCAACCTTCTGTCCGAATCTTCGTAGTTTATCCCTTGTAGTTTATGCCTGTCTCATATCTCACTGTCAGTGCGTCTATGTTTCGGTGACCCATAATACTTTTAATTTTTTTTCCTCTTTCTCTGCCTCCGTAACTCACTCTGTCTGTCTGTGGCTGGAAAATGTCATTCTCAAGCAGATCAAGTGTCCATGAATGAGTGTAGCAGACGAGTGCTGCCGAATGTTGAGAGTGTGAGAAGAGAGGTTAAACAAAAGTCGTACCAGTCATTTCATTCTTCTTCATCTTCTCTGTACTACTACTCTCCAGGTCTACAAGTGAAAGAAAGTTCAAATGTTTAAGTGACTAAGTCTGAACAGTTATCCGTGGGAAAAGGAGCAAAACATTTTACAATTCTAAAGATATATTTAAGCATCAAAACTGTCCTTAGACAACATGGTAAGACATTAAAGTTTGGGGGTTCTGAGGCATGTTGTAAATTTAGTAATGTTGAGATATTCCAGAGAAGCTGGACTTTTTCTAGGATTGGATGATGTGGTTTAATAAATCAGCTATCAAGAGACAGGCATCTGATTGGAAACAGACCAGCAGTTATTTTAATGCCAAAAATATGATCAAATGTAGGGAAATCTGAGTAGATGAGTAGTAGAGATATTTTTTCAGGCAAAGATAAGATCGATATGGCCATACTGCTGGGATAATGCTATCTTTATATTATATATATACTATTTATTCCCTCTATAATCATCACACTGAACAGATTAAAATAGTACTACACTCCTTTTCAACAGTTTCAGGCCGATTCTGTGTATCTTATGTGCATTTTTCTTTGAACTTGGGCAAAGGAAAATTTATTTTACTGTCTGATAGACAATGAAGTTATCCTGTCTTATCTGTGTTGGGGAAACATTCCTTTTTTTTTTGTTGTAGGCTGAATTCAATTCTATTCAATTTTATTTATATAGCGCCGAATCGCAACAGTTATCTCATAGCGCTTTTCATTTAGAGCAGGTCTTGAGCGAATAATTTACAGAAACCCAACAATTCTTGAATTGTCCTGCTACGAGAAAAAGGTATTCCTATGGTTTACCTGTGGAGAGCAGCAATAGGCATAGATGAGTGTAACCAGCCTCAGATTTCAGTAGAGGAAGAAAGCAGAGACGTCACATGGAAAGATGAGCAACCAGCAGTAGCTGCTTCACCACTAATCACACAACATTAACATAACTAGCTGGTACAAGCTAACATAGCTTGCTACATAATTCGCCGTTGATACCATACATTCGGAATTACAGATCTGCACGAAACAAACGCAAGATTCATAGACGGCGCAAAGCGGGAAACAACGTTACGGTCACACACAGTTACTGTGGCCTCTTCTTGCATCCAACTGGCAGGCTATTTTGGCTACCGAAAGCCAACGATAGCAAACTCTGCCTTGGCTAGCGTCAGGCTAGCCAGCCAGCTAGCTAGCTAGCTACTAACATCGCTAACGGTGGTTAGCTAGCTAGCGAGCTGTAGTAACTTGCGTCATGGATGAACTAGTCGTGGAAGTGAGAGGAACAAGTGGGGCCTTTTACAAGGTAAGTTTGTGACTTTTCTTGAGCTTTGTCAACTCGGTTACCACACCATGTACAAACGTTAGGCCAACTGACATGAAATTGTCTTGCTGGAGGAACGTTAACGCTAGCCAAGAGATACCTGCTTGTATCTCCGGGCCTTGGTGCTTCTGTCCACGTCCCGGTGGAGGCTGAAAATCTGTAAACAAAGCTAACGCTAAGCTGCTGTTGTTACCTCCGTGCTGCTTGTCAAATGTGTTAGTTATTTGTGACACTGACGTTGATAAACTAATGCAGTTGTTGTAGCAGAGTTATTGATGTGATTGTAAAGTGATGGGCTTGAGTCGGTAGCAGAGGCACAAGTGCCAAAATTCGATCTTGATGTGTGTTTTTTCAAAGTAACTTAATTCATGATAACAGAAGCAAATTGAGTGTTGTTTTGCTTTACCTGCATTTTTCCCGTAGTGGGCAGGTAGTTTTGGTTTTATCAAGGCTGCTGAGATCTTTGGGGTTATTCTGAAGAGTCAACAGGTAGGATGGACATGAATTTGAAGTGTCCTTATGATATTACACCACAGATTAAGGAGAGAGTCTGTTAGTAGCTTGTTTTTTTTTCAAGGTAAGGGAGTGTTGCTTATGGATCCTTGGCCATGTATTGGCATACCGGTGTTATTCCTATGATCAGTGTCAGTTGACACCTATTTGTAATCTAGTGTACTGAGGTATCCAGATTAAAAATACCCATTGTGAAATAAGTTTTGTTGTGGGATGAAAACCTTGTATTTCTGTATTTTGGGAGTTGTCATGTCAGAAACAAGAAAAGTAGGAATGCCAGAAGAAGGGGGGGAAAAATCATTACTGGCTTTTTATGAACTCATGTTTAATTGGAAATCCTTAATTTGCAAAGCAATTAGTAACTATTGCCACTCACTTTATACAGAAATAAAGTGAGTGGCTATAGAGTGCAGTAAAAGAGAAAGGTGGTAACAATAAATAAAATGGCTTCTGCTCATGTCTGCTGACTGTCTACTTCAAGTTCCACAGCTGATAGCAGACCAATAGATAAACATTAAAGACAGTACCAGAATGACTAGTTTGTTTGCAGAACTAGTGATATTAAATTGTGATCGCTTGTAAGTATTGTCATCTTTCTACACGACGTAGAAGTTTGTTTGCTGCCAAACTAAAGATTATGAATGGGGCGAATGTGCAGCACAGCCACAGAGCATTTTGAGATGTTATGAGTGTTGAGTCGGCCTGCAAACCCGCGCTGCCAGCTCCATCGATTGGAATGAATAAGGAAATCAAGCATTTGAGTAAAGCAAATTCCCGAGTTAAACATGTGTCTAGATCAGTCCTCTCTGGAGGAAAAAAATAGTGTATTCTTTTGTATTTTCCATGACTTAAATACAAGTAAATGGTCAAGGCAGCGTTGGCAGTGGATGCATTTTTGTCTCCTAGTTAGGCGTGGCAGTGGCCAAACATAGCACTTTATAGATTCTAACTGTGATTTATGGCATACAGTTTGAATACTGTTTTAGTTATTTGGCAAGCATTGTTATCAAATTATAGCACTAAAAGGCAATTAGACACTTTTCTGAAAATTAGTTGAGCAGGATCCACAAAATGCAGTTTTTCATCACCACTTAGAATAAAAGCCAACTGCTCAACTTTTGCTGTTTGCTGCTGTGGAGCTAAGAGCGAAATAATTAAACTGAACAGCCATGTTGTTCTACAGTATTTGAATTGCTGAAACAAAATCACTGGTGTGGGATGCAGAGGTGTGAACCCTGGCAACTGTAGAGCAACTTTGTTTTAAAAACTGTCAGTCTCTGAGTTAGTTAGTTCACTGAAGTGTTAAAGGCTTCCTTGAAATGAGTAATAGTATATACAATATAGTACATGTCATTAGCTATATATCTTGGACTATGGTTCATGTTTCAATTAGTTGCATTTAGGTTGATATACTGTTTTGTATTGAAATTTGATTAGTGTTTTTTTTTTTTTTTTTTTTTATTTTGCGGTGATCCCTGGTATAAGTCATTCATTTCCTAAATATCTTCAAATGCCCAGCTTGTACATCGAGCTAGAGGATAAACAGATGTGTTTCTCACTCAGCTACAGTGCTGCTTTACATAATTCACTTTGGTGGCTGTGTACAGGATGCCAGAGGAAAAATGTAAAATTTGTCATGTGTACAGGGTGTAATAGAGCCAAATAGGTTGGAGGTTATTGCAGATAATTTTATTTATAATTTTGTTGTTGTTTTGTGTTTATGAACAGAAAAGTTTTTAACCTGAAAGCAGTTTGTAAGATTTTGTTAACTTTTTGAGTGACCAAGTGAATAGTGGTCGACCTATATGGGTTTTTGAATGGCCATGCTGATATTTAGAGAGCAGGGTGGCCGATAATATGTAATGCTGATATCAAAACAAAGAAGTCATGCATAGTTCCATTATTCCATGTAGATTACGATCTAATATACATGGTTATGTTAGCCAGAAATGTGTTGGTTTAGATGGAATTTTTATAAGTTAATGTAATAGAGAAATACATTGGGTGATTTCAGAACGTGATGGTGTTGAAGGGAGAGTGGGGTACACTTTGTCAGATTTTCTCTATTCTCTACAATATAACAATATATATTAAACACTAGCCAGTAATGATTTTTAGATTAGATTAGCTGCCATTCAGGATTAAGCTTTTGCTTCGTTTCATCCATTACTGACCTTCAAGTTGTTGCATGTCCTACTTGCAGTAATTCACACATATGGATGCCGACTGTGTGTCCAACCAGAGAGAGACAGAACCAAACCCGTCCAATACCCAAACCAGAGACCGTTCAGAAAGGAGAGGGCACACTTACCCGTGGATGCCACCAGGCACGGCTGCGTCGCGTTGCAGCTGCAGTGCTATAGCCGTGCCTGTTGGAATCATGGCATTAAGTCATTTGCTGTGTCTGTTTCACATGGATTTTGGCACTGCCCCTCCCCTTCTGGAGCCTAGCTGCAGGTCTTGAGTCTATTCACTTCAACTGGAGAAATAAACGTGAGCGCAGATTTCGACAAATTCTTTTGCCCCATAGTCAATATTTGACCCATCATTGCAAACCACATATCTTCCAAGCATTATGACACTAACACAGACAAATCAGTAATCAGTT